CTAACTTTACAACATGGTCGTGCAATGCATGTTTACTTTTCTAAGGAAATCATCTTCCGTGACGAGCCATCCTATAACATTTTTTGTTTTTCAAGGAAGACTATCCAAAACAACCAAACCAAACCAAAAACAAAAAACAAAAAAAATTCTTTACAAGCTTATTATACAAAGCCATTGAAAAATAACTTTTTCATTTGACTTTCTCGCTATAAGTATTGTAAAGAAGGGACAACTATCATAACCCAAATTTTAGGTTAGACTTTTAAAAAAAAAGTTGATTAATTTTGTTTTGTAGGATCCAATTGTAATTTATTTGAGAATAGTATTAGCTAATTTACAAATACCATAAGATGAGGGAAAGTATTGAAGGAAATTAAGGAGGAATTAGAATCAATTAAAATTAAAAGGACTAAAACAATCATCACAAAGGGCTTAATTGCGAAACATGGATTTAGGCAAGGACCAAAATGTAAAGAGGAGATGGACGACCTATCGTCCGCTTGATTTAAGTGTTATAAACCATTGTTCATTCTCCTTCTCAAATGAAGGAGAAGAACAGATGGCACGTCGGCAGCTATTGCAAACCGCCGGTGCGGCTCCAAAAACAAAACGAGTGAACGTGCCAAGCACCGGTCCCTCCAACCTTCATCTCAACACATACGTTTCTCTCCTTGAGCCGCAACCCACGCCGCCGCAAAAAAAAAAAAAAAGGACAAAGGTTAGCGGGTTTGGGGTACCATTTTTTGATCGAAGGCCAGCAAGAGAAAAGGCATTGAAGGGCTAAGATGAGCTAGAGATGGAAGCATAAAAGGCAAACCCTTAGGTTTAAGCAAAGGAGGGAGACAAGAACATGGAGAGGAAAACGAAAAGGAGAAAGAGAACACCAAAAAGAGAGCGAGGCAAGAGAGAAAAAACAAAACAAAAAAAGAACGAAAGGAAAAAAGAAAATACAAAAGTGAGTAGGGAGAGAAACGAAAATAAAAAGAAAAGAAGTAAGGAAAAAAGAGGGGGCAAGTGGCTAGAAAGAGTGGGAAAGAAGAGAGAGAAAGGCAAACGTAAGGAGGAACCAAAAACGAGAGGATGTTCGGTTTGGCCTCGCTTGATAACTTCCTCTCAAATATTTGAACTCGTAGGTAATTTCCTACAAGTTCAAAGTATCCTTTGTTTCATTTAGTTGACTCTTATGCACTTAAATTTTTAAAATAGATGCTTTTGACATTGGATATGGAGAAGTCTTAAAATAAAGAAAAGATAATAAAAAGCATATAGTTCAATATACATCAACTCATTAGAATGACACACAAAAAAATGATTCAACCATTAAAAAATAAATTCTTTCTATTGTTCTCTACATTACAAAATTTCAAAATGATTTACTAAATCAAAATTTCTTTTACGCATAGATTGTAAATCTATGAAAGAGATTTTACAAAAAGATATTCAAAACATTGCACCAAAACACATATTTTTGCTAGATGGCAAGCTATTTTATGTATTTTTTATTATCAAATTGAGTATATTAAAGGAGAAGCAAATTCCATTCTTGATTTTCTCACTCAAGAATTTTTGTGTAATATAATACAATGATTCCTAGAAAACCCTCAGTCGACAAAAGCAAACAAACTTAACAAAGCTCAACAAAACCATTATCTCCTCAATACAAAACCAAATCTTGGAAAAAAAAATATTTCAATAAGATTTTAAAGGACAATGCAGCGACTCAAAGCCACAAGAAAAGAATAATGTCTAAAAATGGGTAGCTGCTATCCCACAACATCAATAGGTTTTACTCGGTCTTTAAGACTCTTTGGCCTTTAAGCACACAACACAACAATTTCTAAATTGCTTGAATAAATTTCCAAAAAAGGAAATTATTCTCCATAAACCATATTTTTGAAAAGCACTTTCTCAAACAAATTTGCAAAATGTTTCTCAAAATACTCCTCAAAATAGTATTTCACAAAGTTTTCCTTCAAGATCGATTTTCACAAACGTTGTTCCAAATGTGATTTCTTCCCAAAATCCTTCTTCTCAATATATGGTAAAAGATTTTTATCACAATTTTGACGATTGAAGATGAATTTTACGATGATAGTCCTTTATTTGTAGCTCAAAACTTCTTCCCTCAAAGCTGGCATTACAAGCCAAGAGACCTCTCCAAGCCACAAGCCTATTATGAATTCATACTCACTAACATTAAAATCCATGAAAATTAAACATTTCTACATTAGTGACAAAACTACTCCTACTTACTTAACTACCAACATCCAAAATGTTATCACTCAATGGATTAGGGGTCAAGACCTCAATACCCTAAAGAAATTCCAAGCTAGGTTTTCAAAAACCCTACCCTTTAACCCTATATACACATATTCGGACTACTAACAAGCCCGGTACAATACCTTCCTTATCCAAATCAAACTAAACAAACATTCTTGGTTAATTTTCTATAATACCAAAACCTAATATCATCTACCTTTCTAGTTCATTTCTTGGTGGAAATGATTTGGTGCCATTCCATAAATTCTCGCAAGTTGGTACTTTCTAGGGATATATAACCTTCAAAGATAAATATATCCATACAAAAGCTAAGTGAGCCTTTCCTCCCTTTTGTTTATATATGACAAAATTATTTGTCTCTTAAGTTCTCTTTTAGGAATATTCATTTAAGATAGATGGTACAATCGGTAATGATCCCGATATATTTATTCCCATTCTTACCGGAATGTTGAAGGTAAATGGTGGAATAAATTTTCACACTCTAGCAAAGAAAACAAAGCAATAGTTGAGACATGGTTATCCTTACAAAGGACACAAAATAAAGGAAAAGAAATTGTCACCGACATGCACACAAATTTCTTAGCCCCAAAGTCTCAAGCCAATGCTCCTAGCCAAAGCCAAAACGGAGGAAGAATATTTCGCTATCATACATCAATTGCTTAGGAATCGTTCGGTGAATTACAAAGCAAAACTAGTTTCGAGTCTTCAATTGATCTTAGAGATGACAATGAAGATGACTATTTTGGGATCCTTCCCTCAATCAAACAATAAATAAATGAATTAATGAAAAAGAAAATAAAAAAATGATGCCACATTTACATCACCTCCACTTACATCATTCTTTACATCACCAAGTTCTATTTTAAGAAAGTAATCATCACAACTTTGAAGAAGATTATTATCATTTTACATCAATGCCACTCACAACTTATAAATAGGCCACCTCATCTCTTTCAAGGGCAAGCTTTTGGAAGTTCTAGAGAAGGAAGCTCTCCATATCACAAAAGCTCTCTACAAGACCTTCATCTCTCCTTTAAACAATAAGGAAGCTCACATGTTGAGCAACCACCCTACAAAGCCCTAGAATTTGTAACTCCCAATAATCAATACAACTTTCTTGTAAGTATTTTCTTTAAATAAAAGTTTTATTCATAATTTTATTTTTGCATTAATTATTGGCTAGCTCTACCACCCGTATATATAATTTTATTTCATTTATGTTGTTTATATTGCTATTTCATTTACATTGTTTATATTACAATTTTTATATTATTGTTTCAATTACATTTTTGCATTGCATTTACATATTTATATTGTTACATTGCATTAATATTAACCATTCATAAATTGATCTCAATCGTTTATCTATTCATAATTCATACTCCTATCCTTCCAGGGTCCGAGATATATATATATATATATATATATATATATCACTCATAAGTAACCAACTAGTAAGTTATCTATTTTGGTTTTTTTGTCCTCTCTATTAGATGACAATAAATTACATATGTGCTTTTCTTCTCCTTTTCCTTCTTCAATTATATTACGCCACACGAAAGTTGAGGGGCATACTTTTTATTGTGTAAAATAAGCATGATTCATTAGATTATATTTTATTTAGAAAAGAAAATCAATTGTAAAATGAAAAATTGAATATGTGATACTCAAGTTGATGAGTCATTCTATCAAATCCAAAAAGGGGTAAGGAGACACTTTTGTTACAAAATTGATGTTTAGGTAAACAAAAAATAATTTGATGATTGTTTGTTTCAACATAAGTTAAAATGATTAAATTAAATTTATTGTCTTTATATTATATATTTTATTTATTTTTTTGTCATTTTTATATATGTATCCGAATGAGAATTTGTATAAGGATACAACTTTGAGTAGACAAGATTCCAAATTTAAAGATTCGATAACCTCTTGATGTGATTGTGTAATAAATTATACAGTTTTCTCTTGATGTACTCAAGGTTATAATGTTATTTGAATGGTTGTACTAATATGATTTAATCTTTATCAATTTATTTATTTGAATGGTTGCGCTTAAACTCAAAAATCCCCACTAATGAACTTGAGTCTTGATGATTTGAAAAAATAGGTTTCTAAGCCAAAAAGTTTCACGCCATGATTAGTTTGGATTTCAAAGGTCCAAATGAAATAAATATGATAAGTTAATTTATCAATTAATTCCAAAAATTATATTTTAGAATTACCTTATTTTTTGACTTAATAATTTCGCTAATAGAATTAGAAAATAAGTGGACAAAAATTGATGGAAATAGTTGGAACCCTTAAGTTACAGAACAAGGGAGACGAAGGGGCAACCTTTCCGGGAAATAATGTTGTTTAGGTCTTCACTCAAAAATAAACAACCTCTTTAGATAGTTTTTCTTAGACCAATGCATTTTAAGTTTTTTTTTTTTTTTTCATTAAAACAATATGGCAACTCCTGTTTCAAAACGATTATTTCGAATAATTTTGCTAATAGTCCCGTATGTCGGATATCCATATCTGGTAATAACATAGAAGAAAGACTTTGCATCTGTACTAGTGCTAGTTACTTCCTTTTTATATATATATATATATATATATAAATAGAAAAAGAAACAAGCCCAAAAAAAGATGAAAATGGTACTAGATCAATTATTTTATTCAACACGACTTCTTTATTGAAAGATTTCTCTTATATCTTTATTATCTGACACTATATTCTAACGGTGACAATAGCATACGCATCGACCCACATTAATTTCGCACTCCCTATCAGTGCATTGGGGTGGAGGACAATATTGAAGACACTCATGATCATTTTTACAGGGACCTTTTTGCTTGATTAGCTCCTTAAAATTTTCTGGTTTAACTGCAGCAATCGCCTCGACATTAGTTCCAGTTGTTTTTGAAAATGGCACACCTGAAGCAAAAAAAATTATTATTTATTCATTTTATTGTATTATGAATGAGAAAATAAATTTTAATTTAAGATCTATTGGAGGAGTTTTTCTTATGATGAATATAACTATTGCCCATTTTTGTTTGCCTTATCATAAATATATTTATTTATGATCTTACATATGTATATATATGTTTAACTATGTATCATAGGTATGAAAGTATCGATGCTTGTTGTTTAATTTTATATGCATATGTGTATCCAAAAGTGCTAATCCAGAGAAAGAGACTTACAAGATGCAACCATCACAAGAGTAGCCAAGAAGCTCATCTTTCGAGAAACTTTCTCCATATCTTTTGAATTGAATTTGACAATAAATTTTTTTCACATCGAAAAATAAACTGTCTTTTATCTATATTTATGGGGAAGAACAACAGTTATTTATAGATAATCATTAAAATATCTTTTGATAAGATTATTTGGGATTTCTTGAGATTTTTTACCTTTTTTTTTTTTTATAGAAAATTTGGGTATTCTTCAGATTTTTAGCCTTTTGTTTATTTTCATTTTTAGCAAGTTCATAATGAGACTTTAATGCATTGACATGCATTTTTTTTGCTGTTTTATTTTAGGTTTATTTATTTATTGAATGCTAAGGGGTATACATAGGCTAGCTTGCATGGCACCCAATATTAAGTCCCTTCCTTAAACGATCTTAAGGATGCAAACTTTGCATCAACCTAGTGCATTCACAAATATTTAATAAAGACTCTTGGATTCTAGCCCTAAGAAACCCAAAAAGTTAGTGAAGGCAACATATCTCTTTAACCTACAATCCAATAGTACATTTATGAGATTATTGTTTTAAATATTCTTTGCATGAAAAAAAAAAGGAAAACAAATCTTCAAAGTTTCATATAAACACTCAAAGATGATCAGCATAATTGAAAAGTCTATTAACTGAAAAAAATTACTTCTTAATATAAGTTATATCCTTATGCCTACTTGTGGCAAGTTCATAATATTTTTTATATATAATATAACCACATTAACTATTATTAAAATGGAAAGTAAAAATAGTAGGACTCTAAATTTTGAGACGTAAGCTTAATAGCTAAAATGAGAAAACCTAATCCCAAAACGTTTGGCTCAACACAAGTTTTAGGACTCAGCCTCAACCATCCAACCTACATGAATATAAATAAATCACAAGAAAAATGAATAACGTGTATATATATATCACTCACAAGTAGTCACCTTGTAAGTTATCTTCTTTTATTTTAATTATTATTTACAAGAAAGCAATGCTTTAAAAAGAGAATTTTGATTTTATTATTATTATTAATATTATTATTTTCTAATAGATGACAATAAATTACATGTAAAATTTTACATATGTGCTTTTCTTCTTTTTTTGTCATCAATTACTTTACACACAAGAACGTCTGGTGACACACTTGTTATTGTATAAAACAAGTATGATTCGTAAGATTATTGTATATTTGGAAAAGAAACTCAGTTGTAAAATGAAAAAATGGAATATGTAATACTCTAGTTGATGAGTCATTCTATCAAATCCAAAGGGATAAGGATACGTTTTTTTGTTACAAAATTGATGTTTAGGTAAAATAATAATTTGACAATTTGTTGTTTCAAAATAAGTTTAAATGATTAATTGAGTTGATTTTTTTTTTTTTTGTGTTATATATTTATTTTGTTACTTGTCATTATTTCCATATGTTGGAATTTTTTTAATATAATAATAAAAAATAAAAATATTTTTTATTGTTAAAAAAAAAATTCATTAGTTTCAATATAGTACATAAGTACTATTTTGAAATGGTTTTGTTAAAATTATTTCAAAGAAAGGCTAGCCGTTTGACATTAAGGTATCATTTGGTTATCGGGAATGAAAGGTCCGGAATGGGAATGCGGGAATCGAAATGGCATTTGTATTCCTATACTGCATTTGAAATACTAATGAGGAATCGAAATGTAATTTAAATTTTTTAATATCTGATTTTTTATATAAATAAAAATAATGATTAAAAAATAATTTTATCAAACTATAATAGTTTTAAAAATAATAAAGGTGATGGTAGTAGTGGTGGTTATTGTGGTGGTGATTATGGTAGTGGTGGTTCTATTGGTGGTGGTAGTAATTGTTAAAGCGAGTGGTGGTGGTGCTACTTATGGTGGTTACGGTGGTGGTGCTAGTTGCGATGGTGGTGCTGGTTGCGTGATGGTGGTAGTGGTCATGGTGGTGGTGGTGATTGTGATGGTGGTAGTAGTGGTGGTGGTTGTGATGGTGGTAAAAGTAGTTAATACACAATAAATAAATAAAATATATCATTATTTTGAAGAAAAAAATTTCATTCCCGTTCCTTATTTTTATTCTTACATCTTATATGGGAATGAAGTTGTGTGTAAATTTTCATTCTCATTCCCATTCCCACTTCATTCTTTATAACCAAACAAGCTATAACGTGGGAATAAAAATTTCATTCCCATTCTCACCACTCCATTCCTGATTACCAAATAGCACCTAAGCCTCTTAGCGGAAATCCTTTCATTTATTTTTCTTTATGTAGACATAAAATTTTAAATGGCTTTTTTTTTTATTTTTTAGCTATATATATTTTGATTTTTTTTTTCATTTGATGAGACACAAAACAACAATAATTCTTATCTTGTGTAAAGTAAAAAAATTACAGATTTTTTTTTAGTTAGGAAGAAAAGTATTTCTTTCCATTTTGTCTTTTTTTTTTTTGTTTCCCATTAAAAAGCCATATAGTACTTATATTGGTTTTTTTTTTTTTTTTTTGGATAAGAGTGGTGCTATTTTATTTAGAGTTTCAAGTATTATAAATAGTGCAAATTTATTTAGACACGACAAGATGAGTGAGCTTGTTGTACCCCCGAGATGAGATGCAATATACATTTGATTTGTTGTATGAGATAAATTTTATAGAGTACAACATGTATCATTTCAAGAAAGCAACTTAGTTATGTCTTGAGTTAGTCACACTGAAAATTCTAATAAAACTATTTTGATGGTTTGGTCATTTTTATACCATGAAATATGGTAACATAATTTTGATCCCTAATTTTCCTAATGATCAAGGTTAAAAGCCCAAATTCTTTATCCATCTTAATTTACAATGATTTTTTATTTATTTATTGTGTGAATTTTTATTATTTAATAGTGTTTCCTTTTATGTGCTAGGAACAATATTTTGAGGCAACACAATGTCATGATTTTTTTTTTTGCAAAAGGGATGGTACTCTGGAATATCATGAATGAAACATGGAAAGGTACATGGGGGGACAAACCGGCCTATCCCAACATGCCGGGAGGACAACGTAGTCTAAACCTCTAAAAAATTACAAGAAAGATCCCTAAAAACTCTAAGAAAATTTATAACAAACTTAAAAAAAAATAATGACCTATTGTAGTGTAGAGGAAAGAGAAATAAACCAAGTAAAATAGAGCTATCTCTTGAACCTAGCTAAGCCACGAGTAATCCTCTTAAAAAGCCACATGAACCGACGTTGGTAGAGATTCAAATGAGTGCTACATTTCTTAGTTTCCATGAGCATAGGTGTGGTTTGCTAACTAGTGAGTTGTGAAGTTGTCTTCCTTATATACATGCAATAGCTTACAAGAACCAAGTAGTAGTTTACATTTGCATGATGTCATGATTTAATCATTAAAATAGTGAAATGAATTTTGAAATGAAAATTTAATATTATATTTTTACAATGTTAAGTTCATTACTTGCTTATTGTTTGGTTTTGATTATCATACATTAAATGGTATTTGATGAATGTGTTTTCACTAAGCATAAAGCAAATTTTATAATAATAATAATTTGCATGACAAAGATATTAATACATAATATTTTTTTGTAACCTCGCGGTAACCTATCAATTATTACTATTTAAGAAAAAAAAGGGATATTATTGAATGGTTATATTTATGATATATTGTATATTTATTTATGTAAATTTTATTATTGATACAAATACAAATAATTTGAGAATTGACTTTTGCATTTATTTATATTGACAAATGATAATTGACACTAAAATTATTTGTTATTTTATGATGTCATTTTATCCAGATGAATGAGAAGCCAATAAAGACAATATATCCCATATTTTTATCATATTGGATGAAAATTCAAGAAAACCAAAATTATGTTGCAATAGAGGCTATCGACGTGGGTTCGTAGGTGATGAATGGGAATTAGGAGTCGCCATCTAGCTAATTAAGGAGAACTAGAGAACCTTAAACATGTTGGTCTTGTAAAGATATATGGGTAGGGTCGGTTACGTATGAAAAAATATAACGCCACTCGCCATCTCGTCATACCCGAGGTAGGCCGCATTGTTTGCATGTGAAAACAAAAATTTGGTTTTATTATGTTATATTTCTATGCCTTTATAAGTGAATTTATTTTATCTCGGATGGAATAGTAGAGTAATTTGGGATTCGGGCTGATTCGAGATCGATACCCATACTCAAAGGCAAATGGTGAGGAAAATTAGAATTTTAGCTAATCTTTAGCAAACATGATCCATACCGACAAGTAAGTGAGTTTCTAAATATTGATAATTTTTTATTAACATGAGAAACAAGTCATCAACAATGTCACTCATATAAGTGGGAAGTCGTTGATGACTTTGAGTTATGGATTTAGGAAGTTACCGACAACTTTATTACATAAGTGAGAAGCCACCAAAAAATTCATTTTGATCGAGCAAAAAACAGGTAACTAGTTTGGAAGCCATTGACGACTTCATCAACATAAGCAAAAAGCCACTAGTAGCTTTATTTTAGACAAATAAAAAGCCGATAAATTGATATAGAAGCCGCATGCGACGTCATTCACATAAGTGGAAAGCCACCAACAACTTCATTTTTAACAAACAAAAAGACAGGCAAGATGATTTGAAAGCCACATATAGTTTTGTCTATATAAGTGAGAAGTCACCAATAGCTTCATTTTTTACAAACAATGAGGTAGGTAAGATAATTTGGAAGCCATAAGCGAGCTTCACCCATATAAGTGGAAAGCCACATTCGACTTCATTTCGACAAAAAAGAGGCGAAGTTAGATGATTTGAAAGTTACATGCAGCTTCATTCACATAAGTGGAAAGCTACCGATAGCTTCATTTCTAACAAACAAAGAGGCAAGTAAGATGATTTGAAAGTCATAGGCGGATTCATCCATTAAAGTAGGATGCCGATGATAGCATCATTTCGACAAACAAAAAGGCAGGTAAGATGGTTTGGAAGCCACATGTAATTTCGTCCACATAAGTAGAAAGCCATCGATAGCTTTA